CGTGCGGTCGTCTCGTTGGGGTGCCAGATGAGGGACATCAAGTGGCTCCATTTGGGGCCATTTGCTTGCATGTCCCAGATGTTCAATATGATATCTGGGTTGTGTGGCCATATCCTGAACACGTATGTCCAGGACAGACAGCTTTTACTGCAAGAATGCAATCCTTGGGAGTGTTTCTTGATTCATGAGTAACACTTTGATACTAACGCGGTTTTGTAATCCTACTAGTCCTTCAAGTCTGTGTGTTTGGCGTTGTGGCTGTAATAAATGCCAGTCAAGTATGTGGGCAGAAGCAGAATGTGGCGAACACGATTGTGGGTTGGTTGATTGTGTGCACATGGGCGACCTGTGACTCCACAGGAATGTGTTTGAATACGGATTGAACAACAGCTTCTGCCGGCTGCACATTTGCTCCTTGGCAAACAATCCAAACTGCCTTGGGAAATCCTGTAAAGTTTGATTTGAGTCACATTGATAAACTGTGACAAAGCTCAGGCTGTGCACCTGCGGGGCATATGCAGGTGATATGTTGCCCATATGGACATGTCCAGAATGATGGGAAGGGCACATCTGTGGAGGGCTTTGTTAATTGCTTGGACTTCAACAGACTTTGTTTGTTGCTCAGGCGCATTAGTTATTGAAGTAAATAAAAATCAGCGCATTGGCATGCGAAAGCTGGTTCAGGTGAGGCTCGCCATTTCAGAGTGTGGTCGATTGCTGCGGCTGTCTAGTTCCTTGCATCATTGGAATCCAGCTCATGTGCTGAAGATCAACAATGACTGATCAATAGCCTGTCTGCAGATGCACAGCACATGTTGGGTTTATGCACTTGGAGACAATGTTTTCAGCATTTTTGGACGTTTGTTGAATGCTTCAAGCAGCTCAATGATGGAATCCTTCAATTCATGCTTGAGCTCAGTGCTCAATGCATTTGTGGCAACAGCTGTAGCATTAGCTGCTGAGACTTACCTGTAGGAAAAAGGCCACTCAGTCATGCTTATCAAGGCGATATAGAGCAAATAGCTGTGATGTTGGCATCTGCTGTGCCTGTGTGAATAAAGCTGGATGTACAGAGGTGGTGCAGAATGTGCTGTTGCCAGATTGCTGGGCTTTGCACAGCATATCTTTGCCTTTCAAGAGCCGAAGACTACCAATGTGAATGACCGATGCAGCCCCAACATGCGACCCCAACAATGGTCCTCTGACTAGATTGCTGTGAAAGAAGAAAACTGGAAATGCGTCAGCAGGCATGGCGGTCGAGGTCAACCTTCTAGGCAAAATGCTGTGGTAGCTGAACTGCTTGCAACTGTAAAACTAGTGTAAGCAGCAATGGTAGGATGCTAGTGCATCGTTTGGGGGCTAAAAACATCTATGAATGCCACCGCAGGATGCCTCTACCTCAAGGACAAAAGCTGAAATGAAGCTCGACAAGGTGGGGATGCAAGTGCAGAGGAATGCGGAACAATAGACACGACATTGCAGGCACCCAGACATCAATTACCAGTGGACCCCACAAAGATATGTTTTGTGTTCTGCGCCCGCCATCAAGACCTAAGGGCGAATATTGGGATGTTTTGAATATTGTTCTCAAAGCAGAATTACATGGGATGTTGACCCCATTCTGGCCTTTTTGTAGGAAGTAGGCCTTCTGGGCATGCCTTGAAAGGTGACACCCGGAATCCACGGCATAGTGCTGTTGCGTGCTGCGTCAAGCCTTCCCAAATCCAGTGGCAAATTTATTGGACTCAAAGTCCTCAAACTAAAGAACTGGTGTGCGTAATCTGCATTGACTACTGAAATTCGACATTGACAAATTTGGGAGTTTCTAACGTGCGTTTGAAGGAAACCGCACATGTTGTGTTTGTGGCTGTCACTCTCCACACTTTTGTTGATTCCATAGGACTTCCAATGCAGGATGCTTTATAGAGCTTTGCATTCTCGGCAATGGATGGCGCCGGAACTTGGTAATACTTGCAAAAATGTGATGCTGAATCTCAGGGAAATTACCCATTGAGAACGTTCGAAAAGATGCAGTTAGCCAACACCTGCCCCTCCCTGCAGCATCGCTCTTGCGCTACTCCTGTCCATCCCCCACGCTTGTCTTCTAATGATGCAATTTATGCTATCAGACTCGCAATAATTGTACTAGCGATTGATGCTAAAATCGAAACGCTGGTTCAGAGTATTGCATGTTCATAGGCGCAGGCCAAATTGAGCAAGCGCTGCACTTGCCTATTTAATGTGCCCCACAGCCGCTCAGTTTCAAACATTGTGAGTGCCGGCAGAACCTCATCAAGGCCGCAAGCGGCAACGCGAAAATAGGCAAGGTGAAGAAGCTCCTCGGCAAGGGGGCGGACCCAGACGCCAGCCTCTTCAACCGCACCTCCCTCCATTTCGCCGCCTTCTACAAGAACACTGAACTGGCTGAGGTGCTTATAGAGGGGGGGGCTTCTGTGGACGTCAGTGACGGCGAGGGCACCACACCCTTGCACAGCTCGGCTGTATTTAATGCCATCGGGGTGGCCCAGGTTCTCATAGACGCGGGCGCTGATTTGGACGCTGTGGACAACAAAGGGGACACTGCCCTGCACATGGCCGCCGTGAGGGGCTTCGTGGAAATGGCACAGCTGCTCGTGGACGCCGGGGCAGACGTCTCCGTGAAAAATGAGAAGGGGAAGAAGGCCAAGAAGGTCATCTGCAAGGGGACCATACCTTCCATACGGGCCTGCACCAAAGGCAGCGATCAGGACATCAGTTTGAGGGAGTTGCTTGGGTAGGGCGGGGGGTGGGAGGGAGGAAAGAGGGACGGAGGGCGTTTTTGTTTCGCCGAGCTGTGCCACTGCGTGTGCACAGCGGATCTCAGGCCCGAGTTGGAGCCTAGTATGGCCTGGTGCAGAGGGGATGGATATTCACAATGGAGCCATCATTTGGATGCATTCAATGTTGCATCATAATGGATGCATTCCATCCCGGATTGGAGCCTGGGCAGTGCCCGCTGGCAGCGGCGTTTGTGTCGCGGGGAGTGGCAGTTAAGTTGGGATTAGGAGGGGCATTGTCGGTTAAGGGTGAGTACATTTGTATACAAGCGGCACGTGTGTGCTTTCGCGTTACGACGTGACCCTTGCGTTGGAAGGGCACCGTCGACTTGACCTCCGGGGTGGACGTTCCGGCGCTGAGTGGTCGCTGATGCTTTACGTGCTCGTGGGGACGAGGCTGGAACAGAATAAAGCGTGCCGGTTGCATCTTTCGAGCTGCATTCCTACTGTTACTTAATTTCGATTGTTATATTCGAGACACATGCCTGGGAGGTGGGGTGAGTGGCGGGTGTGAGAGTGTTTTGCAACGCACGCAACATCAGAGCTGTCGACACCGGGCCAACACCAATTGAGAGCAGCATTCAACTTCAAGGGCATACGAAGGGGCTGAAACTGGAAAAATTGGATGAGGCACATGTTGAAATCCACCGGAGGGCCTCCTGGCAAGAATGCGCTGCGCGCTTGCCCGCCAAGCAGCATTGCAGGAGCCACCGAAGGCAAGAGTGACCGGAGAAAACGAACATGTGCGAAAAATCCGTTTGTCAGGAAAAATACAACAAACGTGGCGCTGCTTCAGTGTGGTCTGGTCCCATCGGGCAGTTGTTGTAAGGCAGTCTTCGGGGGGTGCTCCCGCGAAGACGCTCACAATCAATCAGATATTGCTCATCCTTTATTCGACGGCCAGCTTTTCCGTCAGCGTGCAGGATGGCTGTGCTCCATGTGGATTCCACTCGGGTTGGCATCGCACACGGTCCCAACTACGGCGAATCGGTTATCGAAACTGATGCGGGGCATTGCACAATTGAGAGCGTCACTGCACCTTCACCAAAACGGCTGCGTAGAATGCACTGCATCGGGACTTGGGCTACAACTGCATTAGTGCAAGTTGAGGCTGTAAAGGTCTGTGGGTACAGCGCCACACGTGCAGGGCAATAGGTTAGAAAAAATCTCCACGTTGTAGACCAGCATCTTGTCCAGATTCGTCATTGTCTCGTCGATCATGATTTTCAGTTGATTCAACTAGATTTAGTTCTGCAATCTCCACGTTGTAGGCCAGTATCTTGCCCAGATTTATCATTGTCTCGTCGATCATGATTTTCAGTTGATTCAACTGGACTTAGTTCTGCACCTCTGTAAAGAACTTCACGATTAGAAGCGCATCCTGCTTATCCAGCCTCCTGCTCGCTCTCACCCACTGCAAGTTCCAACACCGGTGTCCAGAACTTGGGCAGACGTTCCCTGGCACAACCGAGATGGAGGACCTTTTGCCGTCTTGCGATTGGGCGTGGGACGTGCTGTGCGGCAAGGATTCCCTTAAGTTACTCTGCCAGGGGTGTTTGATACCTGCCCCCCCCCTGCAACTGCAACAGACTTGTTGCTCGCTGGGGTCGACTGTAAGTTTCTTGGGTTTCAAGCCACAGATCCAGCAAAAGAACTGCCATTGTAGAGCCAATGAACCAATGGCCAGTGAGCCCATTGATGGGAAAGTTCCATGCAAGCAGGCAGTGATTGATCGATCACCAGGCTCTCAAGCGATCAGCATAACCTCACACTATGCACCTTGGCGGTCTTTGCTCTGCAAAACACATTGCGTGGCCTGAGGCTGCTTCAGTGGCAAATTGTGGCTGTGGGTCATGTTGTACATGCGTTACATTGGAAAACGATGCAAATTCCTGTCTCTATTTGTACTGGCTGCCCTGCACAAATCGCCTCTCTCCATCCAAACGGTTCGCTGTTCTGACGCTCCATCCGCTTTAGCCCACTCAACAGGGACAAAATGACAGTCATCCACTCACCCCAATCAATTGAGCACTGCCGAAGAGCACCATGCAAGTACACATTATGTCTGCAAGAGACTTGATTCATATCCCGGCAATAGCTCACCACTGTTCGCTATTGTACAATGTAAATTGTGTGTACATACGTTGTTATAATAGCTCAGGCTATCGTCAGCGAGCAGCTGCATCAGAGAACAAAATTGTCAGGCAGCACATCACCACTGAAGATTTGAACTTCGCAGCTGTCCATGGGGTTGTAAGCTTTAACGACGTTCTTCGCCCCCATGCAGATGAAGCACGATCCTCCACCACTGCATGGAAGATTGTAGTTTTTTGTTCTGCCCCCGTTATAGCCAGCGCCACCTGCCCCCTGTCCCTCTGGATCTGTGCCCCCCTTCAGTGGTCGTCCTGGCCATGCATAAACATCATTGTAGCTCATTCCAGCTGTGCTACATTGACGCTTTTTACCCGTGCCAGTCGCTGGGCCCTCTAAAATCGCATCCCCTCCATCGTTAATCCATGAACTGGACCCGCCACCCCCGGCAACAAACAAAGTGCTGTGCGATTTCGCCGGCACACCTTTCACCACTGACGCGATGTAGCTTGCGTCTCCTCCTGAGGGCACAGAGGAAGACCTGTGGAGCGATTCCTCACGGCCGATCGGCCCACCAGCGCTAATCAGCAACTCATCTCCTTCCTTCAGCAAACAAGCACCGCCAACAACTGCACCTTCTCCACCGCTGTGGCCATTGTGCGAGCTGCCCCTCTGGCCTCTTGCAAGAAGGTAGAACCAGCCAGAAGATGGCGCTGTCCAGCTTCCAGAATCCCCCTGGCTCCATGTCCTCGAGGCCGCCTGCTTGTGCTCTCTTGCCTTGTCCGCTATCTTGGCCATCGATGCCACGATCTGGGGGCCTAGGCTCACACAAGCATGCACATTGTCCAGGGTGCGCAGCTCACAGATCTCTTGTGTGGTGAACTTCGTGTAGTCGAAGCTATGCAGGATGCCCAGGCCGTGCTCCTGTCTGCCATCTTCGTGGGATGTCCACACATCCACCGCTTTTGCAAGGGCGAAACCCAGTGGCCCTCGATTCTGCTCTGCTCCAGACATCAGTGCTGAAAGCTCCAAAGGGGATATCTGCACACCCAATGACTGTCACAAGCACTGAAGATATGGGGCTGCATAAGAAGCATTATGTGGTGGCGACACAGGATGCGACCACTGCATTTTGTCATGCTGTATATACAAGCACATTTCCAGCTTGGCACAACAAGGGCACCAATCATCACATCCAAAGGTGCAAGGACCTTGTTTCATCGTGTGTTTTTGACAAATGTAAGCACAAGAACTCATACAACAGACCCATCTAAACAAGTTCTCCTGAGCTCAGATGCAACCTCATTGCTGATGGCCAGCAAGCACACGTCATGGCCACCATGTTTTGGCACGTTGCGACAAGGACATAATAAATCATTGTTGCTTCATTTGAAGATTGCCTTTTCATCACAAAACTGTCAAACAATGGACATCCCTCTCCCACGCAGACTGCTCCTAACACTGTCAACATGATGCAAAACCCTTTGAGGGCACATTAGAAGCTGTGGAAAACAACACCACAAGGCAGCATAAAGATTTTCTACAGGACATGGATGAGCATGTTACCGTCCATGCTATACCCACAATACATGTCACGTCAGAATGTATCATGGCCACGTCCATGGCCGCCACTGAGCAGCATGATTCACAAGCCAATGGGTGCTCAGGTGTGTCCCTAGAGCAAAGGTTGCTTTCTCGTTCTCATGTGACTGCCAGTTACGAAAACAGCACAACAGCATGCCTGGCTCAAGAACAAGAGGCAATACAAAGAAATTGGCAATTATTGAAATCCACATTCAGAACAATGGACAAATTAGGATTGCAACGATGAATAAAATAGGATTGCAAAGATGGACAAACTGGGATTGCATGATCCAGGTGAGCCGTGTCCAAGAATGTGATACGATAACCGAAGCTCAACCGGCCTGTGACAAAATGCCCGGAAGTTAACACAAAAGTGCCAAGCGCATTAAATGAGAGGCCAAGCTGAGCCTATACCTGCACCCAGTCCGCAAGGTCAACAATCATTTCGTCCAAGAATGCGTCCACAAGGCGAGTCGCCAAAGGTGGCACTCGATACGCAGCACACAACTTCAGGAGGTCTGACCAGTTGTCCCTGGTTATCTGCAGCTCCTGTTCCACATATCTGCCACAGAAGTTTCGCAGCGATTGGACATCGAATCTCTCCGCAACGGCCATCAAGGGAATGACACTCAGACTCGTCACTGTGCATCGGCCTGTGTACATGAACTCAATCATGCTGTGCAGTGCAACTGGGTCCACTTCCTTGACGTCCACGCAGCCCTTTGAGCCCTCCAACATGTCCGACTCAAACATTTTTTGAAAATGCTCACTGAAGACGGAGAGCACAGCCTTGTGGCAGCGAATCTCTTCCCCACCTGGTGCCCTGACCACCACGTCGCTACCGCGGCCAGTTTCAAATGCGGAAGACCAGCAGGCCACCAGCCCATCTTTGTCTTCATAGATTGCCTGTTCACAACAGGACACTTTCCAGGTCCCAAATGAGGAACGCAGACAAAACGAGAGACAAAGGGAAGATACCAAGCCAGGGAAAAGTAAACAGAACAACCAAAAGGAAAAGGGATAGAAATATTGGAACCAAAGCTGTAATGAAATTGAGTTATGTTGGTGGAGGCAGAGAACAGGTGACACAGATCGTGAAATCAAGTTGGGTTGTGGGCACACTGAGGATGCATGTTTGCAACAAAAAGTCACAAATGGAGTGCAGAGGAGTACCCATTGTGACGTTGGGCAGGATGCAGTGGAGAGGTTGATTGGCCATCGCTGTCCGCCACCAGTCTGGTGCCTAAGTATGGGAGATTCGCACATGCTGGTCCCAAGGGGACCCGACAAAGGATGCTGAATCTCACACCACAGCCACATAAACGCTTGCCAAGCTTTGACACGGGGTCAACAATGTCAGCCACAGATGTCCTGACACAAGCACAGGTGCACTTGACCACTACCATCAGCCGCTTGCCTGGGACTAGCAACCCATAGACCAACTTTGGGAACCCTCAATCACTTGAGGGACTGGCTACCCAAAGCACAGCTTTGGGATCTAAGGATGCCAAGACTGCAGTCCACACCACAGCGAGCAGAAAGGCCTGGGCAGGCCCAAGGATGATGATAGAATCCACACGGCCACCTCACTGCAAAAATTGGATTTGGATAGCATACACTAGGGTTCCCTATATGGCACCCACCCGTGACACAGCATCAAACACCTCATACGACGTTTCTAAACGTTGCATCTAAAGAACTGTTTCCCAATTCTCCATTAGACTTGTAACGTTCGTTGATCGTGCAGAAACCACATTTGGATGCAGTCGAGTGTCCAATGTACAGATTTGAGGTCCCATTGCATCTCGGGGTGCTATCGGGGGCTGGGCGCTATTGATGGGGGGCTATATGGGTACCCTAACTGTGTTGGAGATCAGGGGGCGATTGCCATCGTGAGAACCCCAATGATGAGGCACTCGAGTTTGATTGCATTGCCATCCTGGCGAATAGAGAAAACACCAAGAAGACCCGACATGTCCGACTGCCTAGGTCTCAGGCGCCTCACCTCTTCACGGGGCTATGCCCCGTGGAGGGCGCGTGCGCCCTCTAATGACATCTCATAGGCTCTGATGGCCATCCGATGGACATATCAAAAGGTCTCAGCTGAGTTGCATCGCTGTGTGGACGTCGACATGTGCGCACAAGGCTCTCGAGCACGCAGGCCCGCCGCCCCTGACAACACCTGAGAGCGGGGTCTCACCATCCTCGACGCGAAGGCCCTTTACGCTCCAGGACGCTGACGGAGGCGGGCAGGGTCGAGGGGTGACGGCCGTGCCGAATGATGCGCACCGCAAACAGCCGCGGCCCCAGATCTAGCGACTAGATCGCGGGGCGGCAGTCCGGCGGCGCGGCCGGCTCCCTTATCGGCCTCTCCTCCACCAGCTCCCGCACCCGCAGCGAGCTCCTTGACTGCGAACCGCAGGTTCGAGTACAAGCCAACAAGAATTCTGTCCCAAGGGACATAAGGTTAGTAACCTTATGTAATACATGCGTTCCGTGGATCGGTGTCCTTGCGCCTAATTGCCTCACCACCTCGCAATGCGGCCAGCTATTAATACCGCAGTATGTTCAGCCCTTCCGCACCAAACAATTTTGCTATTACGCTGTTTGCTCCGCATTTTGTTTTAAGAGCGTTCCTCTTACATTTGTACGTTGCTCTGCAAAACTATATTGTCAATATACGTGATGTATACACTGGTGTATACGTAAATGATATACAAGTACTTGTATATCAACGTGTGACCTTGTATTTGGGAGGCTGGACCCCAACCGACCCTTAGCTCCACTGCAATCCATTACCGTATTCTCCGGCCTACGGGCTCCCTTAGGGGCAGCTGGATCTCGGCCATGCTTTCTTCAGAGTTAGTCCTTTCGACATCTCACACCGTCCACACATGGGTGCATCTGTCCTCATGTGCAGCCAGCTTTCCGTCCATTCACCTCTAACTGGATGGGCCATTTTAGTCCAGGCTCGCTTCTATTGGCACCCACAGCAATTTGGTCCCCCAGGAACGAGCGACCAACATCGCCTCTAAGGTGCAAGGGCAGTGTTTTGTCATGTCTATGTGACAAATGTAATCAAAGGATTTGAAGGAACGAGCGACAGGGCGGTTATATTTGCCACATCAAAGGCACGGAATGAGGCAACCAAAATTGTGAACGAGCGACAGGGCGGTTATACTTGCCACATCAAAGGCACGGAATGAGGCAACCAAAATTGTGACAGGTCGCTATCCGTCCACTTGTGGCAAAATTCTTAGCTGTACAGCTAAGATCTGTGACCGTAAAGGTGCATTTGCGACAGCAACGGGTTTGTATCTAAAAGAGACATACGATCTACATAGTGGAATTTTCATCCATGTCACCCTTAAACCATTCTTGCCAGCTGCCCTTTGCACAGCAACTGCTAAATGGTTAAGCCACAACTTCGCATATCACCCGAACCAAAGACGCCCTTCCATGGTTACAATGCCATTGCACAGAATGCCGTAAATGCGTCCCAGAAAAGAACAATAGCAGCACTGTCGCGAAAACAACAAAACTGTCTCAGGAAAGAGTAGCTGTTTCGTCGTCGCTGTCGCACAGCGGAGCGGTCAGCCGTGGGATTGGAGGCGTTTGGAAGCTGCTTATTGACCGCATTTAATTATTATTTGACCGCAGTTAATTATCCAAATGGTAATGGAAACTTTTCGTTCACCTGTTGGACTACATCGGGCACAGCGAACTTTCTATTTGAGCGCCCTGCTGTCTACAAAGAAGTCTATTATTTTCCACAAGTATCGGTCCCCATTTCCAGTTGGATTCCACAAAGCCATTCAAGGCACTCGCACCACTGGCAGTGCCTTGAGCGCGTTTGCAATTTGAACGAGTTCAGACAGGAATGTGCAAAACGTCGTTGATCAAAGAAGTCCTCATGAAGTCAACCGAGCAACACCAATGTCCTCAATACCTTTTAGAACAATCAGCCGTGGCGTGTGTGCTGTGTTTTGGTTGTTTATATTATTTGTACTTTGAAATGCGGGAATAAAAGTAGTTTCAACAATAATAAACTTCTACGTTTGGGTAACAGAGTGCATCTGGTGCTACTTGAGCCGCCTTGTGGATCTGCACGGAATCCTAGATTTGCAGTGTCAGATCTCGGGACCCTGCACAAACCAAGGTCATCACTAGAGAGAGTGACAGCACGACAATTATGCCAGAAAATAATGGCCAATGTTGTTTCGACAACATCGCGTATATGAGGGTAATCACAGCGCGTACTTCGCCATTCTCGATGGCCCACATTTATCTTGGCAGACAGGGTGGTGACCAGATTGTGGTCCACAATTGGATGCCGGCAAGTGGCGCAAATTGGCACAGCGAGTTGCACACGGCAGCTTGTCTTGCATCTGATCAATGAGAGACCCCCAGTGCTCACAAGCCTTTCGAAGACCTCCGCATACCGCAAAGCAGTAAGTGGCCACAGAACTGTGGCAAACAATCCGCAAGGGGCTTGAAAGGACTTCTTAATGCGCCCTTGCCCATTGTGTTCAGCTTGAGAGTCCTCGCTCGTAACGCAACGTGTTGCGGCGCAGCTGGGTGAAACTCACCTCTGACCTTCGCCCTTGCTGTAAGCGATGCCATCCCATTTCAGATTCTTCACAGACGGCACATGATGCAGATTCTGTTGATTTCCCGCCGCCGGTAAGCCGGGGACTTATAAGCCTCCAGTGGTGAGGTGCCACAACTAGCAGGGTGGCAAAGCATTGCGACTGCTCAGTCAAGCAACCGAGCAGGCTGCCGTAGGCTCAAAGGTCCTCCCCCTCACAAAAAACAACGTGTTCGGGCTATTGAGAGCGCACGCATTTGTGGAGCTAGTCTAGTGCCGTCAATTCGTGTCCATTAAGAGACTGAAGCGACAACGAGCATCTTAGACAATCTTCCCAATGTCATGGTGTCGCCCCCCTGTCTTTGTCTGTTTCACGCAGCCTTGTTGGTGGACAAATGGCGACTTGGTGGGTAAGGGTAGCCATCGGCCAAAACCTTCGCACAATTGGTTGGCAGGCCAAGCAAGCCCACCTCTGCACCCGTCCCGCAGTCCTAGCTGCATTTCAGCTGCAGGTTGCCTCTCTGCGTGCCATGTATTCCAATGGTTTGATGCGCAGATCTTAAAATTTTGGCAGAACTAGCCCAATGCAAATCCGCTTGTCCACTCAATTGATCCGTTCTACAGAACGCAGTGGCCATGCACAGAATGTCCACAACAAACTGGATCCCACATATCGTATAGCTGTCCACACGTCCCGCTTCAGTGAAAAATAGGTACGTCAAAAGCAATACCCGCAGGCAGCGAATCGCAAATTAAAATTCGAATTCACAGTCATATGTGGAACCGTACTTTCTAACAGTATGCCTAAAACCTGGATCAATGAAGCAGGGGCCTCCATTAGCATACCACTGTAATCCTGCAAGCGTGACTGACCCCAAAGATACACAGCCACAGTTGGGCGGTTGTCCGAAGCGGATGCGCAATGGCTTGGAATGCATGCCGCCCTCTGAAGTGGCCCCCGGCGAATTAACAACATCCTTGCAGCTCATCCCCATCGCAGCTTCCAAGAATGCAGTCAACGTATCCCACCATGAGTTCCCACTGCCCCTTCCAGCACCGCACGGCATCCTTGCCAATTTGCGGAAGCCGAACCACCGGCGCCAGCAACGAATAGGAGTTTGGGCGACTTTGGTTTCGTGGCAGCCCGCACTGACTCAACGCTGCTTGCACATATCATAACGAGTTTGATCGCTGCGAACTTCTGAAACGCTGCCTCTCCAGTATCATCGACCGCTCGGATCCTCTGGTGGCCTTTTCCACCAGCGCTCACCATAAACTTGTCCCCTGCCTCAGTGAAATAAGCACCACCAACTGCGGCACCTTTGCCACCCCCCATGGCGGAGAACGAGCGTCCCCTTTGTCTTCTCGCCAGCAGAAGGAGCCGAGAAGTCGATTGTGCTGTCCAAACTCCAGCCTGTCCCTGTCCTTAGGGTGGTCGGTGGGAGTGCTTTTGCCTGCGCCCCTATCTTGGCCAGCAATGACACCACCTTGGCACCGAGGGCAGTGCATCCTCGAGCACTCTCAAGGGCACTCAACAAACAGATCTCGCTCATGCTGAAAGAAGAGTGGTCAAACTTTTGGAGTATGTCACGGCCATGTTTTTGCCAACTCTTGTCATGGCGCACCCATAAGTCCATCGCATAATCAAGGTGGAAGCTCATGGCCTTTTGGTGTTATTTGGCACAAGGGTTGGCAGCTCCAACGGAGACACCCACACAAAATAGACGTGTTAAGAAGTTTCTAATGAAGGCAAAGTACATGTATGACTTCCATTGACTTTGTATGGCATATGCGACTGCCACATAATGGGAATCACGGAGGCTCGCATAATTTTTTAAAATTGTGTGACGGTACACAAACTAAAGGTCAAGAGGAGTAGCATGGAACAAAGAACAGCACGGCCAGCAAGTCATTCACTCAGGAGTGCCGTTGTTAGATCCATTTAATCACCCTAACCATGAATGTTAACGGCCAAGGGATAATGGGGAATAAAGCTTGCTTTCAAGTAGGAAATGCCAGAGAGAGGGTAAGCAAGCTGATGTGCGTATTCAGTGAAAAGGTCGACATGGGATCCCACAAACGTTCAGGACCACCAAATGCACATTGCGATCACGATATGGAGCGCCGCAGCACAACATGCTCAAACAACATGAACAGCAGCCGCCAAAGCCAGGGAATCGATGCCAAATGTAAATGTAGCAAAATGTAGCACAGAATGGCCAGAAGGGTCATTTCCTGCATCCAGTCACGCTCGTCTACATCCATTGGCCCCACAAATGCATCTGCAAGCCAAGCTTCCGGTGCTCATTGAAGACGGAGAGGACGGCCTTGTGGCAGCGAATTTCTATCCCTTCGGGTTCCCTGACCACCAAGTTGCTGCCGCGGCCGGTCTTGAACGCGTCAGACCAGTAAGCCACCAGGGCATCTGTGTCTTTATATACCACCTGTTCAACACAACACCCTTCCGTGGTCTCAAAAACAGAAGAATGTACAAAATGAAGAGAAAACTGAGGAATTGAAATGCTTTGACACGAGGTATCTGAAAGTGAAAGTGTGTAGCCTTTGCAGCAAATGGTGACCAGTTTACACCCTGTGCAAGGGCGAGGTGAGGGTGGGCGTAATCATATCATTACCAATTGGCATTGGTGTGGTGGCAATTGGTACTAATTGGTGCCAGTGGCGGTAGCTGCCACTGGTGTCACAGCAATGGTGTGCTGCCTTGCCAGGCACGGTGGAGAATCACCACGACAGCTTGGCAGGTTGTTGCTTTGCACCGCAGGACTGCAGCACATTATCAGGCCAACCGCATCGGAGAAATCACGAACGCGGCACCAGGGATCCTTCAAACGATGTCAAGCCTCGAATTACAGCCCCACAGGCATGCAAGTCCGCCTCGGGGATTCCAAGCGCCGCCCGCGCCCATGCTGCCACACACAACTCAGTGCATTATATGCAAATCTGCTACGGCCTGGATGTGGCCTCCCAAGCTCCAACAAAAGGAAAATAAAACGGCAGAAAGAAAGAAAGTTCGGGGATCACAAGGACATATCGCCAGCGGCTCCATGGATGGCCATCAACACTAAGCACCATTTTCGGATGACAACTGCGATGTCAATTGGCTAACCGATGCCATTATCATTGCTTCCATGCTGTCGCAATCGTTGTGGTGGCGCCACTTCGTGCCAAAACATGGCACTGCAGCTGATATGGAAGAAAGTGCTAATTTTCGCTCGTCCTCATGCCGCCGTGAAAAGAGTGGATGGGCATGTCGGCTCGAACGTCCCAACGAAAAGCGGCCACAGCATCGGTTCAGCTGCGTTGTGAAAGCCTCCTGGACTTATGTTTGGCATCGGCAGGTCAGCAGTTCAAATTAAGGCGGGCAACGACGTGGGCTCTAATGGGTCCCGACACTGATCACCAATTGCCCTGCAACCCCGTAAGGGCGTGAAACCCCACCACCACCATCAAAAGCCTCGGCCAGTTTCGTCTGCCCATGGCCCTCATCGCGCGCCCTGAGATGAATGAGATCCATGCGTGGCTGTCGACGCTCGGCTGCGAGTCTAAGAGACCTGGAAAGTATCACGCACTGTCCTCGATGAAAGGGTCCCAGGCTTTGACAAGTCCCCATGCCTCCTCGTGCAGAGCCCGCGGAAGGGGACGGAGGTTGCTGGTGCTTCTGTTCGCCGATGAAAGGGCGCTGGTCTTCATCCACGTTGATGGGACAGTGGCCAATCCACGATTGATGGTAGTTCATTGATGGTTGCTGTTCGTATGATGATATTGTTGTTTGTATATGGTGAAGGCTGCATGGGAGTAAAGGGACGTATCCGTTAGGGATCACCCTGTAGCACTGTTCCTCAGCTCTGTCTCTGTGCCCGTGGCCATGCGTGCTCCCTGCATGATCCCATCCCGAACCCAGCGCGACAACATGTCATTGGCGTGCCAATGGTGTTCTCACCATGTAAAAGAAATTGGAGATGAGAATGTGCCCGGCCCCCTTCGATGAGCGTCCCATTGGTTAATGATGCTCTTGAAAACAATGTTTGGATGAGGACAGGCACAACCAGTCTTTGCCATTTCCGGTGGCAGAGTTTTATCTTGGCAAAGCATTTTGCTCACCAGATACTGGCCTATAATTGGGCGCCGCAAGCAGCCAAAATTGAGGCCACGCGTTCGGACAGGCAGCGTCCCTTGTCTCTGATCAACGACAGACCCCTGTGCCCACAGGCTTTTCGAAAGCCTCTGCGCACCACCACGCACTCAATGGCGAACACAACAGCAACAAATTGTCCGCGAGCATCTTGCCCAGAAACAGTAGGCGCGCTTGCTCACTGTGTTCAGCTTGTGAATCAAAGTTCCGCACGCTCAAAAGGGGATACAGCGAAGTAGCTGGGTGGGATCCCCTCTTATCCCCGCCTTCGTTTTAATAATCGAAATTTGGTTTTAAATTTGAATCCAATTCAGCCCTACTTCAGGTTCCTCACAACTGCAGCATGGTTCAGAGTCCATTGATTTCCTCCCGCCATCAAGCAGGGTGACTCGCGGACATCCCGTTTTGCAGCGCAAGCACCTAGTCTGATGCAAAGGAATTTTGGCTGCTCAGTCAAGCAATGGATATAGTTGTATCTAAGCCATGTACTGGATATAAAGTACCATGGAGCTTAGCTCAGTTGAAAATATGCTGCACTAAGCTCAAAGGTCCGTCACCTCACAAACCAAAACACGTGCTCGGACGATTGCCAACACGCACGCTTGTGGTGATAGCCCATTGCTGTCCATTTCTGCACGTTAGGACAGGATGTGCCAACGAACTCCAAGAGCCTTAGACAGTAACCTGAGTCGTGGTGTCGTCCCACGTCTTCGTTTGCTGCATGCCATTTTTGTGTGGGCGGATGGCGATTTGGTGGGGAGGGGTAGCCCTCGGTCAAAACCATCTCAGTTTGGTTGGCAGCCGAGCAAGCCAACATCTACATCCATCTGGTCAGTCCCACGTGCGCTGTCGCCGCGGATCGCATCCCTTCATGCCTTGTGCGCAAACCAAGGAGTTCATTGGTTGGATGTGCGCAATTTCAAAAACTTCTGCAGCAACAGAGTGATGCCAAGCTACTTGTCCATCCAACTGATCCCTTTCCAAGAATGCAGTGACTGTACACAGTATGCCTGCTACATACTGGACCCCATGCATCAGAGAACCGTGCGCACACGCCCTTTGCAGCTGGAAGCAGGTGCATCAAAGGTCGGCATTCTCAAACAGCAACTGGAGATTTGAATTTCACAGCCACTCGCGAAGCTGTGAGTTTTGAGAACCTGCCTAAAACCCGAATCAATGAAGCAGGAGCCTCCAGTAGAAGGCGCAAAGATACTTTGCAAGGATGCCTGACCCCCAGCATAGCCAGCCCCACTGGGGAGCTTGCGTGAATCACACCAGCTCGGCTGGGTGCCTGTTCCCCCCTGCATTGGTTGCCCCAGCTCCGCAACGTCCCTATAGCTCATCCCAGTTGCATTATCGCGTATGCCAGCCATTGTTCCTTCCAATGCTGCACCCCCTTCAGTCCTCCCGCTGGTGTCCGCCGGCTCCTCCAACACTGCCTGCCCTCCTTCGCGATGTGCGGAAGCACAACCACCACCCCCAGCGACCAATAGGACTTTTGGTGACTTCGCCTTTGCGGCGGCAGGCATGGACACAATGTAGCTCGCATCTCCACCATAAACATGTTGTTTGCCATGTGCATGGTGCCGAGACCCAGTCCGTGCAGCACTGTCGACCACTGGGATCCCTGTGTGGGATGTCCCACCGGCGCTCACCAGCAGTTTATCCCCTTCCTGCATGAAGTAAGCACCGCCAACTATGGCGCCTCGGCCACCCCTAATGCTGAGCCACGAACTACCCCTTTGTCCCCTGGCCAAAAGAAAGTACCAACCAGACGACTGCGCCGTCCAATTCCCAGCCTGTCCCTGACTCCAAACCCTCAGGGTGACTGGTATGCACTCTTTTGTCTGCTCCACCACCTTGGCCACCGACGAAACGATCTTGGCAAAGAGGGGCCGGCAGCCTCGAACACTACCAAGGGCGCTCATCGCACAGATCTCTGGCAAGCTGAAAGAAGAGAAATCAAACCGATGGAGGATGTCAAGGCCGCACTCTCGCCGACGCCTGTCATGGCGCATCCACAAGTCCACCGCGTAGGCTAGGTGGAATGTCATGGCCTTTTGGTTTGCTTGGGCACCAGATACAAGCGTCAACAGCTCGAAAGGGGACACCTGCACTCAAGGACTGCACTCAAAATCTTCAAGTTGAAAGCAAAGGAGGGAGACCACATGCATGACTTTCGTGTATCACTTCCACATGCTTTGTATGACAGATACAAGTGTCATATAATGGGAATTCCCTCTTGAGCAGAGGCTAGTATGAGATTTTCTTCAATTATATTGTTGCAGTGCAGAAATTGATGGCCGTGAGGAGTAGCATGCAACAAACAACAGCATGACCAGCAAGAAAACATGCCCTCAGGAGTGCCTTCATGAGCGTCACCACCAAGAGGATAGGCAAACCGATGTGCATGTTCAGAGCCAAGGACGATCTTGGATCCCAAGAATGGTCAAGACCACCCACTCCACATCACCATTATGATATGAAACGCCAAGGCACAACATGCTCAACAACACAAACAGCAATGACGAAAGCCAGGCGACGCATGCCAAATATAGCATACATAGGTGACAAGGGCATTACCTGCATCCAATCCTCTTCGTCTATGTCCATTGGCCCCTTAAATGCATCCAAAAGGCGAGTCACTGCAGCCAATACTTGATAGGCAGCGCACTGCTTCAGAAGACTGAGCCAACTGCCCCTGGTTACTTCAAATTCATTTCTCAAGAATTCACTGCAGCGTGTCCGCAGAGCCTGGATGTCAAATCGATCAGTGAGTGCCATCAAAGGAATCAAATTGCAGTGTGTCACTTTGCATTGGCCTGTGTACATGAACTCGATCACGGTCTGCAATGCGTCTGGGTCCACCTCCTTGATGTCCGCTACGCCGCTAGAGCCCTCCAACATGTTCAACTCGAACATTTTTTTAAAGTACTCACTGAAGATGGAGAGGACAGCCTTGTGGCAGAAAATTTTCATCCCACTGGGTCCCCTGACCACGAAGTCGTTGCCACAGCCGGGCTTGAATGTCTCAGACCAACAAGTCACTGGGACATCTTTGTCTTTGTACACCCTCTGCTGACAACAGCACCATCCCATGCTTTTAGATACAAAAACAGAAGAATGAAAAAGAGAAAGGCAGCACTGGCAGAAAGCACCATATTTGTGATGCCAACTGCGATGCCTTGCGGACGCGGATTGTAATGGGGTAAAAATAGCTGCCATAGCATCTATCACTGCTACAATGGCATCGCTGTTAGCATCTCAAAAAACAGTGCTCTGCTGGTGCACAGTGAAGAGTTCCCTTGTGACGCCCAGTTGGTGGCCGGGAGATACAATGCATGAGGGCAATGGGCATGGGACATGATGAACAATTAGATTACAGCGCAGTGGAGCAGAAGGTCACTGCAATAGATTGAAACAAGCTATTGCTTTGCACCAGTGGACTGCAAGACGCCCACAAGTAATGGCACAGACCGTAGCGGGAAAAATACCAGCACTGATGCCATAAAACACCATTGATCCTGCAAAGGATCATGCCAATAATGATCCTGCAAAGGATGCCAAACCTCGACCAAAAATTGCACCAGGCATGCAAGACCTCCCTGTGGCCTTCAAGCGCTTTCCACGCCCAAGCTGACACTCACAGCGTGCTGCACTCTGTTGCAGTCTGCTGTGATCCGGATTTGATGGCCAAAACCACTAGTATTCATACAGCCTCAACCGCGATGCCATTTGACACTGATTGATGCCATAGCAATCACTGTGTTGGTCCCATTTAATGTCCAAATGGCAGCGCAATGGGGTTTGCAACATGGTGTTTTCCTCTTAGAGACTGCTGAAAGCCCAAATCCCAGGGTCACAAGTACACATCGCCTAGGGCTCACACCGCTTCGAACAAGGGGGGATCGGCATGTCGGCGAAACGCCACCACGAACAGCGCCCGCAAAATCCATGCAGCTGCGCCACGAAAGCTTCGAGACAGGATTTTGGGCGTCGACAGGTCTGCAGGTCGAAGTCCGTCAGATTTTGACACGCAAGGCGAGCAGCGCCGAGCGATCGATTGCGTCCCAACACCGACCATCAGACTGCCCTACATCCGTGCAAGCCTGGGATTCTCGCTCCACTCACCCACCGCCACTACTAATAGCCTCGGCCGCGTTCAATATGGCCTGAGCTGAATTGGGTCTTCGCGCGGATGCTGACAGGTTGCTGCGAGTGTCATCAGACATCTGACACGAGGCCGCTGCTTCGCGGCCTCCGCGCTGCAACCCTGGAAAATTTCACGCACCATCCTGGCCGTGAAGACCCCAGACTTTGGCAATTCGCCGCGCCTCCGCGCACCGAGCCCACGAAGGCGATAGTGGCCACTGGAGCTTCCAGCCTGCGGAACGAACCTTGGTCCTCGTTCCATTCACCCACATGTCAACCGTGAATGTATCATTCACTATCATTCATTATGGTTACCAAGGCAATGAGGTAGCCGTTAGCTTCCTATTTTGCCCGAACAAAGCAGTGTCCGTAATGTCAATCGTGAATGTATCACGCACCATAAGCACTACCAGTGTTGCACTGTGCAAAAGAAAATGGAGGCGAGGATGTGCTGGGTCCAATTCTATTAGCGTCCACTTCAATGTATCCAAACTTGTAACGAATGTCCAAGCTTGGAGATTAGTTGCAATGCAAACCGCACCATATCTAGATATGGTTACTGTTGTATACTGTTGCAGAAATACTGTTGTAGACCGTCGCATGTTATCAATGTCAAGATCTTGATGTTATTCGCAGCATTGGCTTAGGCGTTTCTGGGATTCGCATCTTGTGTATTACGATTCGTTGGCCGGAAACAATGTGTCATAACATGGACAACGCTGCACCTTTGACTTTGCTTCTTTTCATCGAAAACCGTCTGTACGCGTATCGGAGGAGTTTTGGGCAGAACAAAAATTGAACACACGATGAACAGAGCCCGCTCTGTGTGCATACGTGGCACTCACGGTCTCTTGCGCCACAGCGTGCCAAGCGCACTACAACGCTGCCGCACTTGTGTAGCCACAAGGCAACAAAACCATGACGTCCTGTAGCTACGGAAGCGCTGAGAGCTGCCTTTCAAAATCCTGCCGAAAGAGAGCGCCACTGCAGCTGCACCACGCTGCCTCCTGTCCTTCCATGTGGGATCAACATGGGGGCCGCGGATCCCCATGGATCGGTCACGGATTCCAATGGATCCACCTTGGACTACAGTATCCATACTGGCATAGTGCCAAATATATTCAGCGATTCAGCCCTGTGATAGGAACGTACGTAATCAGTACGCACTCTCCCATCAATTGGTTGAATGTCTAAGTAGCCACGAGGCCGAGCATCGACTTTTACTCTCTGGCGATCGTGCTGCCCAACACGAGCGCCTGTATACGCCTGTATACGCCTGTATACGCCTGTATAAATGTCTCCTACGTAGGAGACGAACAGTACTGTTCATTATGGGTACTTTGTTAATGTACTAGTAATCTTCCCACGAGCAGGCCTCGCTGCTCATGCAGCTGGCAAGGCTGTCAACTGCTTGGAATGGATCCAGCATCGAAGGCGGCGATGGCCAAAGCCCTTTGCACGCGTGGCCACCCACCATTTCTGCAGTCATCACGTGACACCTGAATTGAAAACTCGATAGGAGCAACGTGCCCAGCATGCTGCAGATTCAAATTGCAGAAGTTTCAAAATCCCAAACTTCCTAGCGACAATTCCCACGGCCATTTCGCCAAATGTCCGTTCGGGTACACTGCCCTGGGCCCGTTTCACTGTCGACATGGTCACTATTTGGCTGGCCATGGCCCGAGACCAGCCAATGTGACGAAGGAAACGCCATCAGACGCGCAAATCGCCTACCGCCGCCTTCCTGGTGCAGGAGTGGTGCCTTACTTCTGCCAGCAAATGTAGTTCATCTCTCTGGCTGTGCTCCACAGGCGCCCGCTTGCAGCGGCATGCCTATGGGCGTGGGCGTTGGCCACAATGCCGGAATGTTGCATCAAATTCGATGCCTCGCTGAACTCCCCCCTTCAATTCCTCTCTCCCAAAAGGCCGCTGACAAACGTTCCACAGTCCTCATGGTCTCCATTCACTCAGCAAAGCAGCCGAGGAGAATGTCCTCCACGACGCCATCATCACAAGTCAGTTTCTTGCCACCGTTGTCGCCGCCCATTTGGTAACCACCCTCATGCGCGACCCGAAAGAGTGAACTGAAAGTGTGACCCGAAGTGCAGCAAAAAGCGTTGCCTGACAGCTGCAGCAACGCACGGCCTGATTGGGCATATCTCAGCCCCGAAACAATTCCGGAACCCATCGTTATTGTTGGCGACAAAGCAGAGCTGCTTGCGTTCAAGCTCTTGATCTCAGGCTTGCGGCAAGCTGTCAGATTCGGCAACGTAATACCGGCACCGGGTTTGATTCGATCCATGTGATCGGATGTCTGATCCATATGATCCATCTGATCAGATAACCATTCCTAAATATATACAGCCTGAATGCCTAAGTCCTACGCTCCCTCCAATGCCTTGCTACGATGCCTAAGTTCGAAGCTCCCTCCATCATCTTGATGGACGTAGGAAGACGTCATCAGCGCCCTCACGACTTAAAATCAAAGAATGGCACCTGCGTGCTCCGTGAGGCAGCGATCCATCGCCATACACGGCGCCACAGACCCACATTCTAAACAAAGTACTAACAAAGCAACAAAGTACTAACAATTGCTGCGCCCCGTGCCAACCACGCCCGCAAGGCTTTTCAATCCCGCTGCATGGGCAGCCCTAAAGTTTCCGGCACAGCGTCAGACCATCGGCGACAGTAAGGGTGGCCGTAAAAACACGGTCGTCTTTGAAGATCTTGTCGTTCAGCGCCCGGATGGCATTCGTGCCCCGATCCTTCACCTGTACCACAATGTTCCTTCTCATCCACGGCCGACAGGTGGTCATTTGAGAGGACAAAAAGGGGCCCTTTGCAGGAGTAGATTTGCTTTTTGACTCAGCTTGGCGCAACATGACAGTGCGGTGCACACCAGAAACTGTTTGTGTCGCATTGACCCTCGCGCAGTACGCACCCGAGATTTCACATACAACGTTGTCTGCCTAAGCGTCCGCACCGAGGTTACATTTGTCTCGAGAAGTTTCGGCAGCGTTGACCTAACCTACCAGGGAACCTCGGCACCTTGAGGCCCGTGATCCTTGTGAATCTGCCCAAGTCCAGCTCGTGGCACCGCCGGGCAACTCTGACGGAAGTTTGTTATCTTTCACTGTGTGCGCTACACGCGTCACACCCACCCGCCCACCTACCCCCACCCCCAGCCCACCCCTGTGATGCTGAAATATGGTATAACAAACAACAGTAAAACTGGAGAGCATATTCTGCCCTGCACACCAAGAGTGCCTGGTGACCCACAGATGCTCCGGAGCAAACAGTCTGGACGGAAATGTGCCCGACGCTGCACTGTTCCTCCAGGGTCCTAGTCTGTACGGATTCACATGCACTACGGGGATCCTTGTGTGCTTAATTGAACATCGATTCGCCGTACTTCGTGCTTCGTTCACTCTCTGAGGAATTCTCAGCTTTCCGTCCAATTGGGAATTGCCGCACTATAGTTGAAGCAGTCGCAGGGGCGCCGCGCCCACCTCTGGGTCAACCACCTTGCCGTTGAACAGTACATTATCGACGATGACGAGGCCCCCCGGCCGCACAAGCTCCAGTGCCAGCTCGTAGTAAACGCCATAATTCGCCTTGTCAGCATCTGATGGGACAACACAGGCATGCTGTTTTGCAATGCAATGTAAGCGAAAAATGGCGAACAGATCACACAATAATACAACGATAATGGTGGAATCTGGATAGATGATCATACAGAAATGGCAATGGCTGAGGTGCAGGATGTCCCTGCCAGGCTCCCAGCGGTGGCAAGGAAAGAAGACCGCACTGCTTTTCTCTTTCGTTGAAAAGTTGACTTGCATTGAAATGAGCATGCATAAGCACAGATCAAAATCAAGAACAGCCAAGACGGACGAATCAATTAAAGCCATGCCTCCCATTCAAGGTCAAAAGCTCTTCTGTGAACATGGATAGCAGCCAGTAAACGCATTTATTCCAACAGCCTAAGGCATCTGAGTCATTGCAAATGCGGTGCACGGTTGGTGGCACACGAACTTTGAAATGTCATGCAGACAAACGGAACACAAACACGGCTTTGCGGTGACCCAGGGCAGGCGATTGGCGTCCATACCAATGAATGCAAAATCGTAGGAATTGCCTCCTTCCTCTTTAATAATGGATTGCAGCGTTGACTCCGCCTTTCCAACACGCTCCACCACCTGATGCATTCCCGCAACGCATTATTTTACGTGGTTATGTACATTCGCGTGTCAGCGTATACCAATTAATTGATCCCTATTATTGGGACAACGTCTCGACATCAGGTATCGTAATAACCATCTGCATGGAGTTGGGTCGCAGCTACACAGGCCGCTGCGAAAACTGATGGCATTTGATGGGGGGTAATACTGTTGAGCTCAGAGGCGTTTGCATTATCCACTAAACACGAAAAAGAAGTTCACACTGAAATTACACACTATATGCCAATGAATGCCTCCCCCTCATTGGCGAGAGCGCTCCCTTTCTTTTCTGATCAAGTTTTACTTTTGAAGCGCCATCTCTAGTTTCTCACCTTGTGAGTGACGCCTGCCTTGTCCCAATAGCGCCTTGCCACGCTCAATGCCTTTTCGTCCCTCTCGAGAGCCACAAGCTTCCCATCAGGCGGCAGCGCCTGCACAAGGCAGTGGAGGCAATCAGACGTCCTGCACCATCTCAGGCCATTGTGCCACCAAAGCAACACAGCAGGTTACTTTCACTGCAGTACAGTATTGTACAGAAAATTTGCGGTATATGTGCGTAGTAGTATGGTAGCGCGGTCTGTACTACACGGGTTCCAATGAAGGTAAGCTTTGGAATGGAATGGCCAAATGCAACGATCATTGGCGTCCCATTAGTGTTCAAGTCTACTTTTCTCTCTTGACTAGTTATTACCCCCCTTATACCACAACCAAAATGCTGAAAGCAGACAGCTTTTGCGCAAGACCATAATTACAAATTAGTGTGTATTTGTAATAATATTCACTCACGGATTTGTGTTCATACTCAATGTGATCAATGATAATTCATTAAGAGATTGCCGTGTCAGTTAGAAACAATATTTTGCCCTCACCATCGCGACACACAAGGATGAGTAGCCAGTGAAGACTCCGACCTCGATGGCCTTCTTTACACCCATCAGCTGGACCAGAAGGCCCATCAGCTGGCCCTGCTCAGGAGAGACCTGCATCTGGAAGCCCGGCAGCCGTGCAGTCTCTTCTCTCAGTTCTGCAAGCACCTGCACAGCTGCTCTTTCTGAATCGTCTTTGCCGCAAAGCAACGTGGTGGCTTGCCACCTTGACCAATGGTGATGCACTGTAGCGCGACTGCTGCAATATTGTGGCACTGCAGTTACAGCAATTCAGTCAGAGCAACATCACAGTCACGGGGAAATCAGGCGGGCAGCGCCCTGTGATCCACTGGCATCCAGACAGAGTGCGGCATCGAGGTGCTCATGCCTGCACACACACAGTTCCATGCCGGAAAGAAATGGCAATGGACAGACGGTCCCTCAATGACTGCAATCTTACCCTTCCACCTCCCCTTTAGTTGCTCTCCTCCCATTCAGCCACACTAATGTCACTATGTAGGGAAACTGCCATGAGGATGGGTGCACCACTTTCAGATCGGGGTTCGGGATCACTTGTTGTGAACTTCCAGTGAACTGGAGCTGGTTCAGTCTAATGTTGCTCCATGTCTCTGTGCTGGCAAGTCTCCAATGGGCCTGCAACTTGCATGTTCATCTCCAAAATAGCGCTGGTGCTGCTTTGAGCTCAAGGTGAAGATGTGCAAAAATACATTTCATGTTATGCATCTCTGCTGGTGGGTGGCAGGACCAGCCAGCAACTGAACAGTTTTTTGTGGAGAACTGGCAGCCAATTCATCAGAGAAACAATTTGGGTTGGGGTTAGCTCAATTTCTGAAAGCTGATCACACTGTTGCTGCAGAACTCAAGGGCATTAGGCTCAGTTTTTGGTGCGCATTGCTCCTGGACATCAATAACCTCCTGCCCAAATGAATGGATGATTAAGTCGCTTTGAAGACAAACAGGATTATTAAGCTGCTTCGATTCGCTGACAGAAAGGCGTGCTGACACGATGCCATTGAATTAGTGCTGGCTTCCTCTTGTTGACACATCAAATCTTTCAGCACTTTGCCCACCCTGACCGTCAAACCCATACTGCTGAAACAACCACAGGTTCAGTGAAAAACAACGGCAGTGTGAAGAACTGTTGGGGATGGTAGTGCTCACCTCCGGCTCCCTTGTGTGGTCCAGCACATAGCCATACAGCTCGTCTGAAATGTGTTTCAACATGGTCTGTTTGTTCACTGTCCATCCATTGACAACCTTGGGCTCCCTCTTTGGCCTATGTGAACACTCACTGGTCACATTCGCAAGCCAGGTGATATAACCACTGCATTTTCACAGATTTGGGGACGTCACCTTCGCTGCCTGCGTGTCGTTCAACCTGTGGGACATTTCTTGTTGCGTCCAGTGCAGAGCATGAGACAAAAGCATGCTGAAAGGGAACTGGCAAGGGGCCCTACAATGAAGAGACTGGAGTGGAGAACAGATTCTGGTGTTTCAATCGACACACACAAATACACAGAATTCCTTTAGCATTGTCTAGCTGTGGTGCACAATGTCCCCGGACCATCGGATCCCTGCCAATCGTGTCTTCCCCATTCCAAAGAAGCAAATGCACTGGAAGGCACAGACTTCCAGAAAGGAACAGCGGGAAAGTGCCTGTTGCACTGCTCGTGTGAGACTTGAGACCCACCAGACAACACGCAGAGATGTTACAATTGCTCACTGTCCACATTAAAACCAACCCAAGCATATTCAATTCGTCACCCTTCTATCACTCCCAACCATTTCCTCATGTATTCTCCACAACGTATGCTCACAAGGGCAGGAATGGAAGGCTCTTTACTCTTTTCTTTCCTTTCTTCGGGGAGGAGCAAGGCACCTACTTGCGGCCATGGCCTTGTGGTGACACAGCAGATGTGCAGAACACCACCCTCAGGCTCTGCTGCAGAAGACGCAGCCATGTTACAGAATTCAAAATGCTGGAAACCTTGCTGATCATCAGCAACGCACAAACGTACATTCGATTGGACTGCACCGGTTAGAAACAACACATAGCTCTGCAATACCACCTGTTGGGCAAGCTCTGGTGCTGTTCACAAGTACACAAGTTGCGTTCCGTGATGTGTTGGCCTTTCCATTGCCAAGACCACATTGGTGCGATTCATGGAGGTGCACTAATTGTCCACATGCCTTGCCTGCCGTGGCATTGAGCATCTGACTGTGATCAAAACGACACTCCAAGAGTCCCCACAACTGCACCCGGCACCCATCCACATGTTGAAATGCACACCCAATGGTGGACAACCCTAGCCCCACCAGGGGGTGAGCTTAGAGCTGTGCGTACACTTGACGCTCAACTAACGATGAAACAAGGGCAGATTTCACTGGCACCCACATACCACATAAGCTGACGAACAACAACAGCAGCCAGCACATTCTAATGGCAGATGGCTCCCACCCAATCGGCAATGGCCCAGAAAGTCGCTGCAGCTGGCCATGAAGTGCACTACAACGGCCACCAGCCCTTGTCGCACCACACTTTCAAATTGGCAAGCTGGCATCTGCACCTTACTGCTACATGCACTGTTCTGTGTTGTATTCTTTTCTGCTCTACTGTGCAACTCATGCAATCACATCCCATAGGATATAAACAACAATTGGAGGTCCTTGCAGACCTGCAGGAAAATCTGATCCTGTCTGACGATCCGAGCCCAGTGTTTACAAGTGCCGTGACTATTGTACCGTCTTGGCATGGCTGCAAATGGCCGCACACATTCACAGCATTGAACAGAATCTCAGAGACATTCTTTGCTCAGAAACATTCACAGCTCAGGGGTATCGATCGTGTGACATGTTTCCATGTACCAAGGAACAAAACTGTCAACGCGCCACACAATGCAAGTGGCCATTCCCTCACCAGACAGCAAGACAAGCAAAAGGGCACTTCCCTCACCTGACACCTGCGGGGCGCTGCCAGGCGCACCATTGGCGCGATGTCGCCAAGGCGGGCCCCCAGGACCCCGAAGGCCCGCCGCGAGGCGCCGTGCATGTTCTCTCCCTCTCTCAGGGGGCAATTGCAAGCGTAGCGCCCACCCCCCCTTTGCAAATCGTCGCACATAAGTTGATATACTGGTGCAGTACTGATTGCACAGGTGATGAACAATGATGATGTAAAGCTAGTTGACGGTGTTGTAACTGGAACTGATTGGGTATTATTAACAGCTGGACGCTAAAAGAAGGGATGAGGCAATAGGAATTGCGTTAGGGACATTGATGGACGGACTGGATGGAAGGGACAGAACTCCTGTTGTCCCTTTGCTCGGCTGCAAACCGTTGATGTGGACTCAAGCCCACGGTCTTCGTTCAGGGTTCGCCACACCTGCCTGCTTTCGTCAACGTTTTTGAAGTAATTCCTGTTTTGACAACGTACCTGTCACAGCATCCACCAGGCTAGCGATGACGGTGTCGTTGTGAGATTGACAATGATCGCATAAGGTTGACGGCAGAGTTGATGAATCATTCTGAAGATATAAACCAAGCAGGCGGCGTGGTGATTGGATTGTGGATGCACAGTGTACTGTGCTACCAGACTCGCTTGCTAATTTCGGCAACGTGTCTACGACACCATTAGGATGCCGGGGTCGGGACCGCACTCCTGTGAGACAGTACAACTGCGAGTCGGCATGTCGCATGATAATGAGAAGACCATTTGGCGCCGGCATTGAGCCATTATCCCAAGTAGATGAGCGCTTGAGTGATGTTCTGTGACATTGGTTAAGTTTTCGCAGCGCCACACTGCGGGTGTGGTAATAGCTACTTCTCTTGCGTAGCCACTGCTTGCCAGCGAAGCGTTGCATAGAATGGATGGTCATTTCGACCCAAATGCAGGACTTGTGGAAGCCGTCTGCGATGATCTTGCTGGACATTGCGCGCCAAATTGCTGCCATTGGGTGAAACGGGCAAGGCAATTCGGAAAATTTTGTAGCTGCCTACCGTAGCATATTCAACCCTCCCGCACCAAAAATTTTACTATTATGCTTTTTGCTCCGCATTTTTTCTACAGTGTTATTTCTACCTTTTTTCACATTACTCTCCAAAAAAATATTGAAAGGGCGTTATTTAATCTATTGTTTTGTCCGCAGTAAACGGCCACGCGTTACGTTACTATGCGGAAGGGTTGAACATGCTACGGTACAAGCAAGAGCGCGATTTCAGGCCGTGTTCCGGACGACGGCCACTTCCTGGAAACAAATATCTCAAAAATTTAAAAACAATGGCGTGCTGCCTGCTCTCTATTTTGCGTCCCTGAGAAATTGATTTTCCGGCCAGACGCAGAATATCGTGGCAATGCTCTTGCAACCGTTTCAGCGTTATACGCAATTTCGATCCGTATCGCAGCGTCAAAGCAAAGGATCGACCCGGGCACGCCGCTAGCACGGCTACATGTGCATAGCATGCTGTGGTTGTGGGATTCGGCAGGTTGGTGCGGGCGCCGTCGCTGCCACTCGCCCTGACGCAAGGTGCAATGGTTGTGCAACAACATACTTAAGAAGTGGCTATAAACAGCAAGAGCAGTGGAGACGTGATCGCAACACACCATTGGGACAAAGATACGTTTTCTAGAACCAAGTTGCCAAACCCAAACAGCACGTTTATCTTCCAAATACATCACACCGCAATGTGTAAAAGATGTTTTCTATGGCACTGCTCATAACCACTGCTCAAGGGAAGGCGCTACGTCCATTTTGTTACGCTCAGCGTCAATTCGATGCTAATGTGGGGTGGTGGTGGCCCAGGCCTGTGACGGTAGGAGATTATGTAATTGCCACGAAATCGACACAAAGAGGAAAGATGCCAAAAAGCCGCCGCTGATCAGCGGCTAACACGTCGTGACTTGTTTTTACCCCCCACCCCAGATGTTCAATCTCGAATGAAGCCCTTAGAGTGTATCAATTCACAACCACTGAGGCTGCCTGCCACACGTGTATCGTGCATTAAAAATCCCACTTTTCAGCCCACTAGAATCTGTATAATTCTGACGGTTTTTTTCCTCCAAAACGCCTAAAAGTTGTGGACCAGTGTTAGGTGAAGTTGCTGAGCCGTCCTGGCATCCACACAAGGATCGGCGCTAAGGAAAGGGGGGGGGGGTCCCAATAATGGGAACGGGTCCCCGCTCCAACTCAATGCGAATGCTCCACGCTCTTTGCTGGAAGCTACATCCCAACCAGGCGGTGCAGCAATTTGGCGCAAAGGTACACAAACTACTGTGGCGGCTCAACTAAAACTCCCCGGTAGTTTGCGTGCCTTAGACAGCAGCGCGCAAACTACTGGGCGGGCGAATACGGCAACGGCCCTTGACGAAGGGTCTGTAGTACGCAAAGCGCGCCATCCCTTCAAGCGGCGGCACCAGGCGGGATGAGCACAGGCGACGCGGCCGTCGGCGACAAGTCGACTGGCCCAAGCGGTAGAGAGGAGGCCTCCAGCGTCGAAGGTGCGCAGGCACAAGCCTGATCTATCTGCCTCAGGGGTGCCATGTTGCCTCATTTGTCAATGTGTCGAAGGCAGGGAGGAGCCCATTTGTGGGAGAGACTGGATGGGCTGAAAGACGCAGAATTGCTGCATAAAGTCGCCGCTCCGATGCTGTGGAAATTTGTGGTCAGGTTGTGAAAAGCGGGGAGGTGCCATTTGCGAGAGAACTTGGGTGGACTGAAAGACGACAAATGTTGCATGGGGTAGCCGCAACGATGCTGTGGAGATGTGTGTCCAGAGATTTGATCGGGGCATCGCTGGCGTGTCTTGAGCTCACAATCTGTGTCGCACTCTCATGGCAAAGCTTGCTGTGTATGTTGGGTTGAACTATGCCATGGAAACGGCTGCTCAGTTGCCTCGATGCACCTTGTCATTCTGTTCTGTCAGGATCAGATTCTCCCATGCGCTGCGCTGCGCCTCACGCGCTCTTGTAGCGAAAATGCTTGCCGCAACTGGGATTCAGAAATGCCAATGCAACAGGAGCCAAACTGCAGCCAGTACCTTAGTACTGGGCTGAAACCTTTAACTTTGGGCCCAGAGACAGGGGAAGCAAAGTGGCAAAAAGGGTGTTGAGAGGGCAGGTTGCTCTCTTACCAACCTTTTCCTTGACTTGCTTAACAGTTCCGCAGTTGTGCTTGGCTTGCAAAAGTTGCAAAACTGAAAACTAGATGGTGGTGAGACGGCTGCAAGCAATGAGCCAGCACGAGCCTGGCTTAGCTGAAGCGATCTGTCCATGCTTGCACGATGTTGTCAGTACATCGATTTGCCAAGTCAGTCCAAGAGATGTCTTCTGTGGATGTGGCAGTTGTGGTGCAAAGGGCATGGCAAGGCCGTCATCGCCTTGCAAAGACAGTTAATCTTCCATTGCACCTGCAACTGTGCTTTTATGCCGCTTGAATGCTGTCAAAGGAGCACACAACACGCACAGACACAAGAATGCAAGATATGCAATAGCCTCATTGGTGCAGGGGGTGCTCCGAATGAATATTGGGCTGGAAGAAGTACATGACAGGCAGCGAATGCAACGTATGTAGTCACCTCACTGGTGCAGGGGATACTCCTTGTGATATTGGAACACCTGCAATGCAAAGGGGATGCAAGCATGCTTGTTGATGAAGGACGCTTGTGTGGCTTTTGCATGCCCAGGGGAAGAAGAAGTTCAGTACGTATTTGTGGACTTTGGCAAGGATGTCAAAGATCAGGATCTTCTGAGGCCTGGAATGAAGGTGAAGCTCAAGGTATTGTCAATGAAGTTGTGTTGAAGGCATTACACCTGTATGGTAAACTGTTGATTTTGATTCATTGACGTCCTGATGCTCTTTATAAGATATGTGAATATGTTACTTTGGTGAACTGATGCTGACTTGGCTATTGTGCTGTGATGCACTGACCGTGATGCAAGTCAGTACTGGTTAGTCAGCCATAAGGTGGAACATTGTTGGTGACAGAAAGCAACTAACTAATGTTGTCCATTGCAGCAATGTAAAAAGAGAGGAAAAAAGGAAAGAGAAGGGCACACTGGCAGTGGCAGCATCAGTTTTCTCAGTGTTCTACGGGGAACCCCGCAATGGTTGGCAAGAGAACATCCCAGACCCCATTGTCATGCACAGAATGTAGACAGGTCCTCGAGAGCAAATAGTCCAGGTGCAAGCGTGAAGGACAGGGAGCTATTTGTGCATTGAGCAGCCCTCCTCCTGAGCACAAGTGTTGCCAATTCCGCTGTTGTCCCTGCTGCAGATGATTATTATGTAGCATTGTCCAAATACGAACAAAAGACACTGCAGAGGGGCACTTGCAGCTAAAAGCAACAGGCTTCTGCAATATGGTTGTACATGTGTGATGCAGCAACAAGGAGGCATGCATTTGTTTTAGGAACACGATCAGAGGCTCGAAGATGTCCAGGAACTGATTATGAGGAAAAGCACATGGTGCCTGTCCACCAAACAGCACTTGAAAAAAATGTGGCAGAAACGGCTTGCTCCCCTAGCAGGGGCTGATAGCCATAGTTGCTGCAACATCTTTTGAGAGTGTTGATACATTCCCTGCAAGGCTAACACCAAAAATACAAAAATCTTGCCATGGGTCAAGGTACAGGTGCTCAGTTTAGCGATGGCCAGCTAGCTTTTGTGCTGCAGCACATGAAGCCACAGGTCTCCAGTTCTGGATACCAGGGGTCTAGAATAACGTTTGGTAGGGAACGTCTACTCAGGAAACCTGTGTTGCATGCAAACAATGCCTCCAGAAACACTGGGCTACAAATCTTCTCTTTCAATGAGGCACGTAACAACGCCTAATAGGTGCAAAGGGTAGGGGTAGGAAGGGGAGAGGGGGAGGGGGCAGCACAATTTGGGACAATATGCTCACTGCAACTGCCTATCCTGAGTTAGGATCCCCATGGCCCAGGCCTGTATTGTCCCACCTGGGGAATCGCGAGAGAATGTGCAGCAGGGCATCACATGAAACAAACTATACACAAGTTGCTGCATGGGACATACACATTGCATCCCCATGCTACCTGCTTACTCTTGCTGCCATCCCAAATGCTTTTGCTGTTCATGGATTCGTGCCAGCCCCAGTCATCAAGCTGCCAAGGTCATTTAATTCTCATGTTCTGGAAAATGCAGACATTCGTGCATTGACTCTGGCCCTCTTGACCCTCAAGGTGGCACAACAGTTGAAGGGCAGCACGTCATCAACATCTCCTTGTCGGATGCAGCCAGAGACACAGGTCCTGTTTGCTCATCTTTGCAGGCAAAAAGTGGGACAAACACTTTTGACATACCACAGATGGGGCATGACTTGTAAAGCCGAAACCTTTCTATAAAAAAGGGATCCCAAATTAATGGAAATCTCTCATCGTTGCAGGGGTTGGGCACCAGCTCTCCCCGGGTGGAGCTAGAGGGCGGCTGGGCCTTTTCTGGCGAATATGAAGATGTTCTTGGCACACTGCTCATGTTCTCAACAAATGAGGCGGAGCCAGGAGCCGTGCAAGCACACTACAAGTGCAAAACTACCAAGTGCCTGATGTGCAGCCTGGCAGCCAAGCCACCTCGAAGGCGTGGGGCATCATACGAAGTTGATGACGTCAGAGGTGGGGAAGATGATGCCATGTCTGAGGATGGCGGCCCAAAGTCAAATGAGCAGAAGCAGCAACGGCGGGTGGGGGAGGGAGAGGGGAGGGGTGAAGAGGGGTTGGAGAATGGAAGGGCTGCAGACGAGGGACGGTTCGCGGAGGCTGGAATCGCAGAAGGAGGTGAGGCTGGGGATGCTGTGTCGTGTTTAGAGCCCGGGATCTGGGAGGGGCCGCCTCGCGATGGGGAGGACATGGTTGTCGATGCGGAGAGCGGGGGTGGGTGATTGGCCGTGTTTGTTTGCACAGCGTCTGTGCTGAAGCAACCCCTTACGGTCAAACGGGCCGACGTGGACCTTCAAGAGCATGGTATGTAGTAAATCTCTTGTACATACAATTGTTTATGCAGTTTTTTTGCATAGTTGTTGAGCACAGTGCCGTGTTACTCTAGTGAACAAGGGCACCAAAGTCCCAGTTTAGATTGCCGGTTTTTGGTCCAAGTTCAGCGCCGTTTAGTGAACTGAGTGTGCGTCACTTGATGGCTGGTTTCCAACAAACCAGTACGATTTCAGCTAAAACTAAATAATATAATGAATTCATAAACAATAATAATCTTTCAGATCTAAAATCCGCAAATGGCCCTTTCTTTGCCGCTGTTGCCACCACGACTGTTGGGCGCGGCCTCGCCGCTGGGCTGGGCACGCACGCGCTGAAGCCCACCCCCTTTTGGTGCCCATCACCTCGCAGGCACCCGCACTCTACGCCATCCACTCACAGCATGGAAAATCGTCTCACACGCGCTCGCCTACCAAGCAAGCGTGCCACTCCAAGGAATGAAGCGGTACAAGCACGCACTGCAAAGTACCGAGTTTCTCTATCACTTTTCCCTGATAGGAGGGGGTGCCCTTCGCACGGCCTGTTTCTCTGCAACAAGTACTACCGCCCGGCGCCCGTTCTCTCTGCGCTTATTGAATGCGAGGCGCACAACCAGCGCGCCTCGCGTTTGATGTTAAACCTCGACCTGGTTTCAAACATCAAAATGGTGCCGGCGCTCCGGGGATGCGACGGACAGGACATCTCGAGGTGCTTCCCGCGACGTTCATGCCGGAGAGCTGCTTCTGACAGGGACGGACCTCCCCCCCCACACACACACACACCACCACCACCAACCCCCCGTCCCGCCACCGGCCCCCCTCCGTCAATCGAGCCATCAATCAAAAACCACAGGAAAAAAATCAATCAAAAAATCTACCGTTCGCCAGCTCGACAAACGCGAAGTTGCAAAGGTGCCAGCTCTGCGTGAACTTCTGGTAGAAACCCGTCCAGTACATTAAATCGCGGCGCGGCGCCGTCGGGCGCCATGCCCCGCGAGAGCTATTCTCGGACATCGGGCCCCCTGGCCCCTTTCCCCGCGTCGTATGCGTGGCCCCCCTCACAACCATCACCGTACATGGCGCCCTCACCTCATTCAAGTCGGCCCCAGTACATTCCGCGTACCGAAACATCAGCAGGGCGAGGTCGGATCCAGTACACTGGCGCTGCCCAATGTACCGCCGCCGTACGTTGCGCGTCACGAAGCATGTGCCTGAAAATGTGTCTCAGTACGCGTACGGCTTCCGTATTGAAACATCGGCGGCCCTTGCACTGAACGTCAGGGCTGATCCGCTCAGCGTCGGTTCGATCAGGGGGGGTGGGACGCACCCCCCTTGCTCCCCAGGCCCAGGGGACCGTGCCCTTTCTGCACTGGCGGCCGCCCCGCCCTCCCCCCCCCCATGCAACCCCCTTTTTTCTGCTCGCCGCAGCCCCCGCCTCCGCGGTAGATAGTTTCGTCGGCCGCGCGCCGCTAAGCCGGAGGGACGCAGGTGATTCTGAGCCCACAGGGCGCATGCGGCTCAAAAAATGGGCGATGAAAACGCTGATAAGCGCGTGTACCTGCCGTGCACAACTGGGCAGCTTTGTCTCTGCTTTAACCCCGCTTCCGCGGTAGTTAGTTTCGGTCACTGGAACTGGCACACAGCAGGGGTCCAAGGTGAATCTGGGCGCGCCGCGCGCACATTGCTCCAAAAATGGGCAATAAGAACGCTCACGGGCGCGCGTCCCCGCTGTCCACAGCTGGCGACCTATATCGGAAAGCTGTGGGTCGGCTGGAGCGGTTTTGGTGTGTCGGTGTGACTTGACCTGGGGGCTTTGCTGGCGGCAGATACATGTGGGCATGGGGCCGACGCTCGCGTCGGCCGTGCTGCTGGCGATCCTAGTGGCGGCCGCGGCGGAGGCAGGTGAGGCGCGCAGTTTTCGAGTTTCAATTTTGCTCGAGTTTGAACTGTTTCTCTGCCCAAGGCGTCAGCGCTGGATTGCGCCTGCACGCGCTCATCTCCGCCTCGCGCGTTGGCAAGTTGGCGGGAATCTTAGGACGCAGAAAGCGGCCCATGGGATCGAATTTTGGGGCCTTTTTAGCGCGCACGGGCATGGCGGGGCCTGCCTGGAGCCACCTGGTTTGGCGCCTGCACGGATATGCAAGGGCTACGGCAGTGGCCTCAGAGGGGCGATGATTGAGCTCGCTCTGACGTTCCTGGCCCGATCCGGACAAGCCAGTCAAGAGCCGCGGGGTGAAGTTGGATCGCTGATCTTGTGGGGGAAATGCGAGAGGCTGTTGCGGAGCGGCGGGGTGCGTTGCCCTCTTGCCGCGTGACGCGTAACGCCGACGACGTCGCGGTCTGGGGGACGGGGGGGTTTCGCGGTGGACGTCATGAGAAGCGGGGTGCGAAAAGGACCGTGAAGTTGCGAGGGAAGGCTGGAAAGGGAGATTTTTCTCTGTCTGGCTGTACCTTTTTTCTCTCTAAGACGGGGGGTGGGGGTAAGATTGTTACAAAGAGGGAAAGAGGGAAAGAAACATGGCACACAAAGGGACCCCCTCCTGAGCAAGTGTATGTGGGCAAGTGAGCATGGTGGAAAGGAATGGCTGATGGTGGGGCTGTCGTGCTTGGCGTTTCGCTTTGCGCGTTTAGGGTCCCTCGCAGGGGTGAGTGGAGCGGTGCCCGCTCCTCAACGAGTCCTTAGCCCTTGTTAACCCCCTCCTCTTGGGGTTTGCGTCCATGAGGTCATTTCGGGGCGCCGGCACTTGAGTGGGGTGTTGGGGGTGTTCGGGTAGGGGAGGGAGGTCATCTAGATTTCTAAGATTGCACTTGTTGTACATTGGTAGTGGTAGTGGTGGTTGGGAGAGAGGGGAAATAGGTGGTTGGTTAATAGGTTAATAGGTTAATAGGTTTGGCAATAGGTTTGTTTCACTGCGGGAGAGAACAGGTATACCCAGCAGCCCCACTCCTGTGCAAGGTGGGGGGTGGGTTGGGAGGTATGTGGGTGGGTAAGGTTCGTTGCACTCTGCTGCTCTCTGCGAGAGAACGGCTCAGCCAAGGGCACCCCCTCCTGAGCAAGGCGGGCTTGGGTGGAGGGTGGTGGTTGGTGTCCATGCGGTTGCACACAGCACCAGAACTAGAAATTGTTTGGTCTCCAACCCGAGACAGGAGAACACCGAGACTGTCCACAGTTGGAAAGTGATGCTCTGAAGGGGTGGGAGGATGGGGGCGGAGGGAATGTACCATTGCACAGATCGTGGTGAAATGCAGTGTTTGCGTTCTGTGTTGATGTTGGACGACAATATTGAGTCAGCTTTGGAACGCTGCCGATCCATCTTGCATTTAGAAGAAACAGTACTTTAGAACAGGAAGAAAAACCAAGAACTCAGGCGCTTCCAGCCCCCAAGCAGACAGACAAGGTGCAAAGCACAGAACACCATTGAAGCGTTTGTTACTGTTGGAGACGTTCGCCTGCTGCAGTACTGAATGGGATGGGGGCAAAATTCCTGAGGCGATTCTCTTGTGCCCAACCTTTGGGGTGCAACTCTATAGGGCAGATGGTGGATATGTGCATTTTGCGCCCTGTGGCCTCTTCCACACAGAAAGGGACTACACTGATCAGCAGCAAACAAGCATAGCACACCTTTCTTATCTTTTGGAACAAAAAATTGCAATATGCATGTATCCCCCTGGCTGTTGACTGTTCTGTACATACATCCTCGATTTATGTGTCAATGGAAAGAGGGAATTTGTGAACCCAGCATAGTTAGTAATGTTGTGGATTTCAGATGAAATGGTGGAACTGGTTGCAAGGGAACGAGTAGTGTGGCTTGTGACACTGGGGGCAGCGGTGCAAAATGGACGATAACAGAACCCCAGTGAAAGCAGCTGCAAAAAGAAAGCAAGTGAAGCAAGCACTCTGTTCAATTTGCCAATCCCGCAAAGTTGATGCAGATTGCCATGCCTGGCCTGCATTAGCCCGTTGGGCAGCTTTACGTGGCTTGTAATCAATGGGCATTCCAGTCCACGCTTGATTGCCGCAAAAATTGGGTTGAATGTATTGATCCATGGCTTGTAACAATTCAGCAACATGTAATGGAAGGCTTCCACACCTCGATTTGACCTCATCTAGCACACTATTGCAATTTTCAGAAGAAGACTTCTAATTAAGTTGTTGCTGTTGGCTGTTAGTTTGCTTTCTTTTTAGCACCAGCTCTTAATTTCAACATCCGCAGGTCGCCAACAGGAGGAAGAATTAGGACAGCAATTGTCGAACAGCATAAATGGGGCAGTGTATCGAAGAGAACTTCTGAAAAAGAAGGACGAAAAATTAGTTAGCGGTGATGATGGGGGGGGAGGAGGAAATGGGCGGCAGGCAAGCCCCAAGATTGTGGTAAGTTATTGGACCTGCAGGTTCTTGACAGAAAGACTGTGCTTGGCTGCAGCAGTGCTCATTACATAGGTGTTTTGTCACAGTGACAAAGGTCCCATTGCCTTGCTGTGGGGCACCGCAAGGTACCAGTGCAGCCAGCGCGTGCATGCTGAGCATGTTTGCTGACATCCGCAAAGCTGGGGAAACTGCATCTGGGGTAGCACAGGCATACTCATCACCCAGAATGGCTGCGGACTTCCGATTCCTTCGGGGTTTTCTGAAGTTTCCAGACTTTTCTGAATTTTGTCCAAAATTTTCCAACCATAGTTTGTGCATTTTCTGGAATTACTTTGGATTGCCAATTTCCAGCGACTCTGCTGATGATTGTGTTGGCACACTGTGTTGCAGGGAGGAACCGTTGCACCATGTGGGCGATACCCATTCATGGTGTCGCTAAGGGACCGGACCAATGAACACAAGTGTGGCGCTGTGCTGATTGATCCCCACTGGGTGCTCACTGCTGCTCACTGTGTCGACCCCAACAACGAGGGCTCGCTGGGAA